CATCAGACACTAAAATGTTATCTGTTGTGAGTGTGAACCATTTGCAATTTTTAAGTCCCTTTCTTTCAGAAAAGGAAGATGAGCAGGCCTATAGAAGGAGAGAGCCAGGACACAGGGTGGGCCTGAAGGCAATTTAATTTTGCTTCTTCCCCACCATGTGGGAAAGCTGGAAGCAGGCCAGATGACCCCACTGAGCTATCATATGGGACCACACACTTCATCTCTTCATGATCTCAGTTCTGAGTAGGTTAAGAAAAATGACTGCTCCAAATATTTAATTTCCCTTTCCTTCCCTCTTTTTTCTAATTTTTTAAAAAAGGTTTTGATTTGGAATTGAGCATGGAATAGGAGAAAGATAGAGTGAAGGATGGTAGAAGGGCTTTGAGAATATTCATTTTACCCCAGGTGAATGATCCTTATCTTTGTTACCCAGAACATTACAAAATTCTTTTTGCTTTAAGTAGAAAATGCTTCATTCTTAATTGGCCTTTAAAGGGTAAGACTGGGAAGCACAGGCACTGGATTAGAGAAGAGGAAGGAAATTTTCCTTCCTTGTTTTTCCTCTCCATCCAGTTACACCACTTCTGTTCTGAGTGAGGCTTCCTCATTTCTAAAGGATTAGTTCTTAAAGTGTGGCCCACAGATTCCTAGAGGTCCCTGAGACTCTTCCAGGGGTGTCCTCAAGGTCAAAAACATTGCCTTTGCCTTTTCTACTGTGTTATCATTTGCAGTAAGGTGCAAAAGCACAAATCAAGGCAATGGCACCAAGCTATACTGGCAGTCATTGTACCCTTCACCAGCATGCACTTGCAGGATAAATATATCAGTTTCACTTAAGAATGTTCTTGATAAAGTAGTAAAGATGATTGATTTTATTAATAATCGAGTATATGCATTTTTCATTTCCATGTAATAAAATGGAAAGTACCCATAAAGCACTTCTGCATACTCAAGGGTGGTGGCTGTCATGAGGAAATGCAGTTGCGTGTGTGTTTGAGTTGCAAGCTAAACTAACCACTTTATTCATGGAATACCACTTTTACTTAAAAGAACAGCTGGCAGACAAATAATGATTATTCAGATTTGGATATTTGGCAGATATATTCTCAAAAATTAATGAAACGAACCTGTTACCTTCAACTCAAGTATTTGTTGTCAGTGATAGACTTTGAGCTTTCAAGTAAAAATTTGAAGTTTTAAAAATTTGTATCTGTCGCTGTGAGCTTGCCAGCTTCCCAAGTTGTCTGATGAGATTGGTGATGATATTAACAAATGTGATTGTTCAATATTGTCTGTTAAAATGTGTCAAGTTTCTGAAGCAATATTTTCCAAATAACCAATGAATGATGTTACAAAATCATGCATGGGTAAAAGGTCCAAAGTACCAGACAAACCAATGGAATTTAATGTAACCATATGAAAGCTCACTAATATGGTTTCAGATTCCAGTTGCAATTAACCTTTAAGAAACTACCACATGTCAGTTTCTGTGTAGTGTTAAAGAATATCCACAATTATCTGAAAACCAAAAAACCAAACCCACTGCCATTGAGTCGATTCCGACTTATAGTGACCCTGGAAGACAGCTATGCTCACCACTAAACCACCAATGCTCAGAGTGACCCTGTAGGAGAGAGTAGAAATGCTCCATAGGGTTTCCAAGGCTGTAAATCTTTATGGAAGCAGACTGCCACATCTTTCTCCCACGGAGCAACTGGTGGGTTCGAACCACCAAGTTTTCAGTTAGCAGCTGACTGCTTTAACCACTGCGCCACCAGGGCTCCTCAATTATCTGAAACAGCTATGAAATATTCCTCTCTGTTCCAATTACACATCTATCTAAGGTCGGATTTTCTTCATACAGTCAATTAAAACAATATACCATAATGGGTTGAATGCAGAAGCAGATATGAGAATCCAACCCTCTTCTATTAAACCAACCGTTAAAGACATTTGCAAAAATGCAAAACAATGGCGCTCACACTTCTGATGAATAATTTTTTTCATCAGAAAAACTGTTGTTTATGTCAATAGGTACATGTACTAGATTGGTATTTTTAAACAAGTATTTTAAATTTTGTTTTAATTTCTAATATGGTAAATATTGGTAGATGTCATCAATGATATGCTGCTAAATGTTTAACCACCAGCTTCCTGGGGAAAAGAAGCCCTGGTTTGCAGCATTTGCTCATTTCCATGGTGTAAATACTCTCATAATGGTCTATTTCAAGATACTAACACATTTCTAAGGAGCCCTAGTGGCTCAGTGGTTAAGTGCTCAGCTACTAACCAAAAGGTCGGTGGTTGGAACCCACCAGCTGCTCCCTGGGAGAAAGATAAGGCAGTCTGCTCCATAAAGATTACAGCCTTGGAAACCCTACGGGGCATTCTACTCTGTCTTACAGGGTCCCTGTGAGTTGGAATCGACTCGAGGACAGCGGGTTTCTTGGTTGATTAACATGTCACTGAATGTAGTTGGGAGGAGACGAGAACACTCAGCCCTCGCCTGCTTCGGCACACGAGTGGATGTAACCCACGTGAGCTCAAGCTCTTCAGTGTCCTCACTCACTTTGAAGAATGTAAAGGAGTCCCGAGAACACGGAATTTGAGAACAGGTGTCCTGGAACCATCTATTCTCATCTCAGCAACATCAGAGGTCTAGCCAGCGGTCACAGAGAGCTGTGGACCCAATTACAAAAGTACCTGAACTTCCAATCTTAATGTACTTAATATAAACATCCTAAAATCGCTGTCTTCTCAGTTTTCTGTCAAACCCTGGGCAAAGACAGACACCTGAATCTATTGTAATCCCTTCTGTAGGAATTTTTAAGAATTGGTTTTTTTTGGGAATTCCATCAGGAAGGGCTCAGAGTTGGTTCCAGGTTTATTATGGTTTACTATGCAATTTGGGTGTTGTTAGTTACCATTGAGACAGCTCCATGTAAAACAAAACAAAATGTTGCCCAGTCCTGCACCATTTTCATGATTATGGGTATGCTCAAGTCCATTGTTGTGGCCACTGTGTATTTTGATTGCCTTCCAATCTAAAAGGTTCATCTTCCAGCACTATATTGAATATTCTGTTATGATCCATAGTTTTCATTGGCTAATTTTCAGAAATAGATTGCCAGGCCCTTCTTCCTAATCTTAATCTAGAAGCCTAAGTCTAGAAGTTTGAAACCTGTCCACCATGGGTGACCCTGCTGGTGTTTGAAATACCAATAGCATAGCTTCCAGCGTCACAGCAACAGCCCAAGCTGACAGATGAGTGGTAGAACCTGGGGGTAAAATCTGTTAAATGGAGATTTGACTCTTGATGATTGAAAGTTGCTGAGTGGGATCTGAACTTAATATCCTTAGTCCACCTCCTCCGTGTTGGAGGAGGAGAATGAAAAATATTTCAAGGATTTTATATAAACAAAACGTTATTTGAGAAAGAAAAGACCAAATCACAAGGTGTTTATTACCACACCGAGAAAGGTTGATAATGAACCTTAGTTTCTAGAACTATTAGGTGGAATGATATAAGACTGCCACTTGTGTAGTTTTAAAAAAAAGGCTGACTGATAGCAATTTCATGGGGCTCAGCCCAATATGTAATGAGCTGATGGCTAAGACTTCTTTCGGCAGCAAAATATTCCTAGCTCCATGTCTGTTTAGGTTATAAACAGACGTCCGAGTGATAAAATAGGTCCTACTTGAGGAACACATTCTATGCTTAAATATGCTGGAAGTTGTGTTTTGTGGGCATTTAAGTAAAGTGTCCCCAGTTATGGCTTTGCTCTTCTCAGCTTGCCCTATCACCCCATTACATGGTCTCATTACATGGGCAATTTTTTAGAGATGAGAAAATCACGGCCCAGAGATTTAAGCTGTCTGTCCAAGGCCACACTGCTGTAAAACTAGTCCAACTTTGAAACCAACCAACTGGATTCAATCATTTATGAAAGGTCAAGAACACATGGCTGACCCAAGAGCTCCTTTGAAACAAATACAAATGTCTCCACCGCAATCAAAACATTTTCTTTAAATGAACTATTCCAGTACATTCTTATTCATTATTTACTTACCCTCTCTGTCTCCAGCTAGTCTGTGTTCAAGAAATAAGAAAACTATGTTCCTGTGGACACTCAGCAAAAAGCAGCAGTATGTTATCCAGAGGGGTTAACATGCTCAGCTGCTAACCGAAAGGCTGGAAGTTTGAGTCTACCCAGAGGTGCCTTGGAAGAAAGGCCTGGCAATCTACTTCTGAAAAATCAGCCACTGACAACCCTATAGAACACAGTTCTTCTCCAACAACGGGGTCACCATGAGTTGGAATCAACTTGATAACAAATGTTTTTTTGTTTTCTTCTTCTTCTTTTTTTTGGTATGTTATCCAAATAATCCAAGACATGACCAATGAAAACAACAGGACAAGCCGTGCTTCGTTTATGTTCAAGAGATTTAATAAAGATCCCCTGCCCCCACCCCAGAACCTTCAGCTCTGTTACAATAATGTTGAACTTTACGTGGAGCGGAGATAAAAATAAAGCTTTCTTACAAATTACTTTTTTTTTGTCCAGTGAATTACTTTTGCAGTAAAAATAGCTGCTACATAAATCCCTCCTGATCTCTGAAAAGGAGTTGCATATTTCCAAAAATAGTATTCTTATTTTAATCATACAGAATAACTGGGAGCAGGGAAAAGGAATGTTGGTCAGGGAGAGGTGCATTGGGGAAACAGTCAAACTAAAAAATAAGTTGTGTATAAACTGATTTAAAGACATGCATAGACGTGGAAAACATATGCCATTTGTCAAGAAAAATACTGCTTTATAACTATTTACTTTTACATTACAATTAAAGGAGAAACCATGGGAGGCCAGATGTGCTCCCAGATAATAACATTAGTTCCTTGTAAAAATTCCCAAATGTACAAAGTCCTTGCCAAATAATAACCATGGCAAACAAAAAAACAAAAAACAAAAAGAGGGATTAACCCTTCTAGACCTTATTCCTATAGGTATATTAAATGTCAATAGTGCACATTTTACAATTTTAATCAGCCCCTGGCAGAAGCAACCCTTTGTAAAATGCTGTCTGTGCTATTGAAAAAAATGGAATAAACATCAGATGTCTGCATTCTTCTTTCAAATACAGTTACATAATTATTTTAAATTACAATATATAATTTCTGTTAAATAGGACTGGTACAGGATTCTGATAACAATTATTAAGATTACAATAATATCTACACACTAACTTCTGAAATGGCGTGATTCTTTCCTTCCCACCCTCCTCCCCCTCTCAAACAAAGAGAATGCTTTTGCATTTCCTATTTCTGGTTGCCAAAGGCAAAAGCAAACAAATCCGTGTACACGTGCACGTACACACGCCTTCCCTTTGCAAATCATAAAATAGCTGCACGATCCGGGGTCACACACAAGGCCTGCTTTGAGCCCGCATGGCTTCCCAGGGCTTCCTTCACGACTGCCTTAATTTGGTAGCATCATAAATAGCATTTTCCTGCCAGCAGACCTTGGAAGCAAGGAGCTGTGCTGCCTTCGCAATGCTGAGTCGGAGAAGCGCGGTTTCGGAGGCAATGAGACCACTGCTTCTCGGTGATGTCCCTGGACATATGAAATCCCTTCTGCTCAAGGTCCCTGGAGCGGCGGTCAGGATGGGCTTCCCATCACAGTCACATGGGGCCGGGGCCGGGGCCGGCTCAGGCAGTCCCGCCGGGCCTCAGTCCTCCGTGTCGGGCTGGACGCCCAGGATGGCGTGGAGCTCTTCAGGCGTGAAGCCAAGCAAGTTCTGCAGGTCGCACACAAAGCGGTACACGTAGCGCTTCCCCGATGTCTTGTGGATGATGTTCTTGTCGTAATAGTAGCGCAGGCCGCGGCTCAGCTTTTCGTAGTTCATCTTTGGCTTGTTTTTCCTCTTTCCCCACCGGCGGGCCACCTTTGGTGGACACAGACAGAAAAGCGTTAAAGGCGACGCAGAGTTAAAGTCAACAGAGGGAACGCTAGCGACAGTCCGGATTGACTCGAATGCTCATCACAGAGGTCTGACGACTATAACGCACACAGAGGCGCCACCTGTTCTAACACACGTGCCAGGGCCCTTGTGCCCCTTGTCAAGTGCGCTGCGTCCCTCGGAATCAGGACAGCCTGAGACAAAGGAAATGCTGCTGGGGTCCCCACATCCCGGGTTCTAATCCCAACAGGAACGGCGAACAGCTGCCGAGTGGGGGTTTGAGTCACATGACGTGACTCACTCCTCAGTGTTCCTGCTCCCCAATGGAATTGGGGAGGTGACAGATGACACTCTTCCGGTGCCAGATATCAAGGGCCTTCCTTAATTCTGTCCTGGAGGGACTGACATTAGAGCTGCCCTCGGCCTTTCGCTCTGGGCAGGGCGCCTGGCTCCAACCAGCCAAGGCTGGTTCCAGTGCAGCCAAGCTCAGCCGAGGAGCCGGGAAGCCACGCCAGGGGCTCATTACCCCACATGGAAAAAACGGACTTTCCTAAGGCATTTTCAGATGGGCTGGAGAAAACGTCATCTTGCGGTGTGGACTTTTTTATCAGACAACGGGGCAAGATGATGATGTCTGCCCAAAGGCTGTGTGATCCCTCGTCCATGTTCTTGATAGTCTGAATGCCTCAGGCAGCAGTGTTCTTATCTGTACAGTTAACCCTTTCCTGTGCCCCAAGGACTGCATGTGGGAACCCAACAGGATGCAACCCGGGTTCAGAGCCCAGAGGTTTCCCAGGCCTGATCCTACCTCGTCGGGGTCGGCAAGCTTAAACTCCCATCCATCCCCCGTCCAGCTAATGAACGACTGGCAAGACTTGTCCGAGAGTAATTCCAACAGAAACTGCCACAGCTGAATAGGTCCACTTCCTGGGAGGCAAAAAGGCAAATTACACATTTTTATACGTTTAAAATACAGCAAAGCTCTTGCCAGTTTTACCAGTTGCTGTCAACTCCAACTCATGGTGACCCCATGTGTGCACACTAGAACTGCTCCATAGGGTTTTCAAGGCTGTGACCTTTCAGAAGCAGATTGCCAGGCCTTTCTTCTGAGGCGCCTCTAGGTGAGTTTGAACCGCCAACCTTCTGGCTAGTAGTCAAGGAGTGCTTAACTTCACCACCCAGGGACTCCAAACAGCAACGCAAGTCATCCTAATTTGTTGTTGATGGGTGCCATTGAGTCGATTTCAACTGATAACAACCCAGTGTGATCTTCATGGGAGCAGATCACCAGGTCTTTCTCCTGCAGAGCTGCTGGGTGGGTGTGAACCACCAACCTTTAGGTTAGCAGCCACCAGAGCTCCTGAAGTCATCCTAATTAAACTAACTGATTTAAGACTGCAGACCTGACTCTCTGAGCTGAATTCCAACATGAAGGTGCAACTCAAGGTGTTGGTGCCTTAATGGGATAAATCTGGACACCAAATATAAGGCTTCTTTGACACTTCCTACTCTGAAGGTCACTCAACTGAGACAATCTTCCCCTGCGTTGCTGGGTTTGGTCTTTCAGGGAAAATTTAGGGCAAGCAACTCCTGTTTATTCCTTATGTGAAAGCCTTCAGGGTTTATTTCTAGAAACACAGGGGGACGGGGTGGGGGCAACTGAGCGGCATTTCATCCCAGAGTGAGGCACAGCCACGGTGGTTCCCATTCTGCTTACCCTGCTGAGTGATCCTGGCAAAGTTACTCGAGCTCCCTGAGACTGGGTTTACTCAGCAGCCAATGGGGCTAATACCCATTGCCTCATAGCATTTATTGGGTAAAGTATGCTTTGCAAAGTGTTCTCCACATGCCTTTTCTCAGTTACTATTTACAGCCACCACTTTATGACGCACCATTTAGCCCTGCTTTAAAGATGAGGAGTAAGATGTGCCTCGAGACCAGGGGCCTTGCCCGGGGTCACACACCCATCAGTGTGGGGTGAAAGACACTGAGTCTTCCAACTCAAACCCCACCCACTTCCCACCACTCCCCAAAACCTGATGGCTTTTGTCCCACAGAGCAGGAAAAGCAGGTGATCTGGAACCAGTCAGAGCTGGGTTACCCATGTGGCCATGGGAGACCTGTCTACCTCTGAGCCAATTTCCCCATCTGTAAAATGGGCCAATACCACCACCCTTGAGTTGGCAGAGTCCCTAGGTGGTGCAAACGGCTAAGTGCTCGGCTGCTAACAGAAAGGTTGGAGGTTTGAGTCTACCCAGTGGCACCCTGGAAGAAAGGCCTGGCAATCTACTTCCAAAAAATCAGCTTTGAAAACTCTATGGAGTCCAGTTCTACTCTGACACACACGGGGTAGCCATGAGTAGGAGAGGACGGGATGGAAACTGGTTTTTGTTTTGTTTTTTTGAGAGTAAAGTGAAAGGAACCACTAATGCCACAGTTGTGTATTATCAGTATTGGACCCTGGCTATGAAGGTGACATCGGTTTCCACACCGTCTTTATACGTATCTTGGTAACATTTATAGGTTGTCTGTTTTATGTAACAGAGAAAAAAAAAACCATATGCCTATAAACTCTTATTTTAATCATCAAATTTTTTTAAGGAGGTATTTCTTTTTTAACCCACAATGGCTCCATATGGTCAAAATACAAAAAAAAAAAAAAAAAAAAAAACTACTTAAGGATACAAGAGGCAATGAAACAAGTCTCCAATTTTTGCTGAAAATATCTGGTTGCAAAAACAGCTTTAATATTTGTCCTTCGTCTACAATAGTCTAGAATAGCTCTCTCCTAAACCTTAAAAATAAGATTTCAGAAGCAAGAAAAGGTAAACAGTCCCTGTATTGCTGGAGGCTGGCTCTGCGGCCCCTCCCTGATTCGACCCCAGCCTAAGCCTGTTTAGTTCTGGGACATTCCTGGAGAGGGTGTGTCCCGGCAAAGGAGTCCTCAGGCCCAGTGTCCCCTGCTCCTCCTCCCCCTCTCCCTCTTCCTCTAGAAGGCCCAGCACATCCCAGGTGGCTTTTCACCCACCCCAGTGAGCTCCATGTGTGAAAATCCCTGCACGGCTGGCATTTTTAGGATCCAGGGATACAGCCAGCCACGCAGAGAATGTGGAGTATAAATACTAGTGTGTACACTGGAGCCACCCTTGATAAACATGGTGCTCGGCAAGGCATGTGAGGGGGCTCAAGGGGCGAGGCTGGTGGCCGGTGGCAGGGCCATGCTCACCTGTGAAGCCGGCCAGCACTGCCGCAGGTATAACTGGTTTGCCCTGCTCCACAGGGTCACTTCTTTCCTGGATGTAGTCCTTGAACGACATGGTTGGCTTGTTGACGCCGAGGGGCTGGCTGCAGTCGTCCTCGAAGCTCTCAAAGGAAGGTACCCGCTGTACATCAAGCAAGGATGACTGGCTATTCCAGGACTGTAGCAGCGAGTCTGAGCTCTCGAAGCTGTCCGCGCCGCTCTCGGTGGAGTCCGGGTCTCTGGGCTTACCTGGCAAGGAAAGACAACCAAGCACATACTTTGAGTCCTATGGGGTAATAAAAGGGGCCAATGCTACTGTGGAATTACTCCGGGTTAGTCTTAGGTTCAACAGGAACATCAGTACCGACAGCCACCCATGCAGCTGTACACTCTGGGTGTAGAATCTTCCACAGACTCTCAGAATGCTCCTGTCACCCCGTGCTTAATCCCTATGATAAATATACTCTACCCATCTGGGGTCTTAAAAGCTTGTGAGCGGCCATCTAAGATACCCCACTGGTCTCACCCTGTCTGGAGCAAGCGAGAATGAAGAAAACCAAAGAGACAAGGGAAAGATTAGTCCAAAGGACTAATGGATCACAACTACCACAGCCTTCACTAGACTGAGTCCAGAACACCTAGATGGTGCCCGGCTACCACCACAGACTGCTCTGACAGGGATCACAATAGAGGGTCCCGGACAGAGCTGGAGAAAAGTGTAGACCAAAATTCTAACTCATAAAAAAAGTCCAAACTTACTGGTCTGACAGAAACTGGAGAAACCCCGAGGGTATGGCCCTGGACACCCTTTTAACTCAGTACTGAAGTCACTCCTGAGGTTTACCCTTCAGCCAAAGATTAGACAGACCCATAAAACAAACAATAATACCCGTAGTTCAACCACGCATACGAGACTAAATGGGCATACCAGCCCAGGGGCAAGGATGAGAAAGCAGGAGGGGGACAGGAAAGCTGGACAAATGAATGGAAATGGGGAACCCAAGGTAGAGCAGCTGAGAGTGTTGACATGTCATGGGGTTGGTAACCAATGTCACAAAACAATATGTGTATTAATTGTTTAATGAGAAACTGATCTGCACTGTAAACCTTCATCTAAAGCACAATAAAAAAGTAATAGAAAAATAAAAATAAATATATGCTACAAATCACACCTTCCACAACAGTAGAATGGATAAGTAAATTGTAGCTTCATATAATGCAATACTATACAGCAACGAGGAGGGCGGTGATGGCTCAGTGGTAAAATTCTTGCCTTCCATGAGGGAGACCCGGGTTCGATTCCCTTCACGTGTATTGCACCATCACCCATCTGTCAGTGGAGGCTTGTGTGTTGCTATGATGCTGAAAAAGTTTGAGCAGAGCTTCCTCACTACGAGAACTAGGAAGAAAGGCCTAGTGCTCTACTTGTGAAAATTAGCCAGTGAAAACCCTATGGATCTCAATGGTCTGATCCCTACCCGATCATAAGGATGGCACAGGAATGGGCAGAGTTTTGTTCTGTTGTGCATGGGGTCGCTATGAGGTGGGGGCTGACTCAACAGCAGCTAACAACAACAAAGCTTCATATAATGGAATACTACACAGCAGTGAAAAAGGACATGTTGTGGCTATATTCCATAACACAGATGAATCTCAGACTTAATCATGAGCAAAAGACAAGCACAAAAGAAAACTGTGTATGGTTCCATTTACATGAAGTTCAAGAACTAATCTATAATTAAAAAAATCAGAATAATGGTTTCCTCTAAGGGTGGGAGCGAGGGTACTGGCTGAGAAGGGGTATGAGGGAGGCTTCCAGGGTGTTGGAAACTTCTCTAACTTCATCTGAGCGGTAGTTACACAGGTGTATTAACCAAAAAAAAAAACAAAAAAAAAAAACATTGCCATCGAGTTGATACCAACTCATGCAACCCCAGGTGTTATAAAGTAAGACTGCTCCATAGGGTTTTCTTGGCTGTAATCTTTATAGAAACAGATCACCAGGCCTTTCTTCCATGGAGCTGCTAGGTGGGTTCCAACCACCAAATTTTAGGTTCATAGTCGAGTACAAACCGTTTGTGTCCTCAGTGGTGCAAACAGTTAAGAGCTGGCCACTAGCCAAAGGTCAGCACCTCGAACTCACCCAGAGGTGCCTCGGAAGAAAGGCCTGGCCAACCGCTTCCAAAAAATCAGTCATAGAAAACCCTATGGAGCACAGTTCTACTCTGACGCACATGGGGTTGCCATGGGTCAGAGTCAACTAGAAGGCAATTGGTACCACAGGTATATATATGTAAAAGTTCATTGAGTTGTATGACTGTATATAAAATGTTTCATTTCCATTATAAAAACCTGTCACTTTCCCACAGTTGTCTCCACCAAACATTCCATTCGTGGAGGAATTTCACCTCATGAGCAGGGAGTCTGTCCTGTTTACTGGCATTCAGTGCCTGGATCAGTGCTGAGTCATATCATGTGTTCATCTGTTGAATAAACCAGTTGTCTGTGTTAGTGACCAAAAGTCACTTAGAACATGGACAAGTACTTCCAACTCCTCTTTCAATGGCTGAAAACAGGATGTATTTATTAAGAAAAAAAAGTCCATTTCACTATAGGATGTGACGACCTGGCCAGCTCCCAGAATCAAACAGATGGTGTTGCTTAAAGGAATGCTTGGATGCATCAGTCTTACCGGAATTGTTAGGAAGCAAATTCAAGTTGCTTCCCTGGAAGTCCTGGCTGACGGGACAGTAGTTGACACCAATGGTGTTGAGCCGTGACTTGGGGTACAGCTGGAGCTCCTGCTCTGAACTAAGGGCACTGGGCGCAGGAGAAGGCTGACATAGGGTGTCCAGGAGGCTGCCTTTGGAGTAGTTCTGTGTCTGCATTCCATAGGGTGCCTGATCCATAGCAAAACCTGGAACAATACCAGTGGACAGCTGTTAGTGAAGGTTAACATGGTAACTTAACTATCAAGGCCCTCCAAACCTTCTAACCACCCCAAACATGTCCAGTCCTGCGTGCTCTCCCTCTCCACAAAACCTTGGTGGAGACGTGGGCTTCGGTGGCAGGTTCCCCACCAAGCACTAAGTCCTCCTCTTCTAAACCAATTTATCTTTGCAACACAGAAACCCTTTTCCAAAATGGCAGCTCCTTCTGGACCCAGGACTCAATGCCACCATGCTACTATTTCTTCATCTTGGTAGTGTATCGAGTGCATTCATGTGACCCTCGCGAGGACAGGGGTCACTGCCTTTTTCAGCTCCCAGGGACAGTAAGGCTCAGAGAACAAGTGATTTGCAAACATTCTATGGTTTGTAAGGAGCAGAGATGAGCCTTGAAACCACATCTCCTGATGGCAGATCCAAGCTTCCTTCTCCCTCTCTTTCATCATGCCTGCTTCCACCTCCTTCCGGCGGGGAATAACTAATTTTCTGGAAACTAAAGGAAGCTCTCTTACTTTGACCCGGGATCAGGTAGGCAGAAGGCTCCCACTGTGCTACATTTGGAAAGACCTGCTGAGCAGGCCAACTGGTAAACCCCAGGGGCAGGGTGATGCAGAGTGGGAAGTCCTCACCTGAACCAAGAAGTTTGACTTGAGGCATGGGCAGAATCAGAGAACTGGATCAACACCATCAAAGCACAAAGTTCTGATGATGTAGTTCTCTAGCCACCCACTCCCACACCAACTAGGGAAGACCACCCCTTAACCTACCCTCACCAGCACCAGCACCCAGAAGGAAGGACCCAAGTTCTAAGAGCCCTCTTAAAACTCCAAAGCTCAGAGCAAACTTAGGATGATTTTCCATGCTCTGCCTGCCCCTTCTTCTTCGCGATTTGTTGTCTTTGCTGTGTGCCGTTGAGTCAGTTCTGACTCAAAGCGACCCTATAGGACAGAGTAGAACAGCCCCATAGGGTTTCTAAGACTGTAATGTTCAAAGGAGCAGATCACCAGGTCTTTTCTCCCATGGAGCCACTGGGTGGGTTTGAACCGCGCAGCTTTCGGTCTGCAGCTGAGCACTTCACCACTGAGCCACCAGACCTCCCTTCTTTGCGATACTGGCTTATTATCTGGCCACAGCCATCAGCTCACTTATTTCTGCCCCTTGCTCTCTGAATTGCTGAGACAGCACAGGCCAGTAGAAAGATAATGGGAGCCACTTAAAGAACACCAAACTCTAGAAGCCACATTTAGAGAGTAAAAAGAAATAGGCGAAATTAATTTCCATACATCTTTTTTAACCTAAAATATCAAGTAGCATCACCCCAATATCCAATCAATATTTCGTAAATTATTAAGGTGGTATTTTACAGCCTTTGTTTCATACGAAGACTTTAAAATTCAGTGTGCATTCTGTCCTCACCGTCTATCTCAGTGTAGACCAGCCGTGTTTCAAGTGCTCAATAGCCAAGTGTGACTACAACATGAAACGGGTCTAGACTATTCCATTGTTGTTGTTCTTAGATGCCGTCAAGTCAGTTCCGATTCCTAGCCACCCTATAGGATAGAGCAGAACTGCCCCATAGGGGTTCCAAGGAGCGGCTGGTGGATTTGAACTGATGACCTTTTGGTTAGCAGCCTAGCTCTTAACCACTGAACCACCAGGGTTCCTGACTATTCCACTAGAGAGTCCAAATCTAACAGGATAATTTAACACCAAGTTTTTAAGGGCAAAATCAACCGGACTAACCTACTGAATTGCTATTAATCCAATGAGGAACTGAGTTGAGGTGTGAATTTTCTTCATATTGTTCTTCTGCCTTTTCTTGGTTTTCTGAAAAATAGACAAAGGATACCTAAGATTGTAACTCTAGGTAAAAACTACATGAGAAAAAAAAATTACTTTCCGAATTACTGTTCTCTGGTTATTTTAGCTGACACACATTTAGTGCTTCCCATTTAATGGATGGTATACCGTTCTGTGTATACCTGCTTCAAGTCACCATGATGTCTACTGCAAAAAACTACACAGCAATATATTTTTCTAATAATCAGGAAAAAAGTTTTCTAAAATGAACCCTGTCACTGGAAAAGAAGGTGAAAGGTCGGGATTATGTTTATAACTCATTCACCTATTCAACAAATAGTTGAGTGTTTATGAAGTATTATCTGGACAAGGGGCTGAGAAAAAGAGTACATCAACAAGACAGACGTAGTTCCTGCCCCCGTGAAGCGTATGGCCCATAGCTTCAAACCCTGGAAGCTTCTCAAAGTGCAACAAGCATTGCAAAGAGAGAGACACAGTTCTCTGAGAGTCTGTAACAGAAGACATATTTGCCTGAGGACTTTGAAAGCGAAAAGGCTGGCCTCTCTGTGTATGTTTACTTAACTATGAATACACTTAACCATATACATATACACACCAAAAACGCAAACACACACAAACTCACACCCCTGAGTCACAGCAAAACACATCCAATTTGCTAATAATCAGATTCAGCAGAAACTTGTCAGATAAGACCTTGTCCAAGTTCAGAGAAAATAAGAAAAAATATTTTATGTCCCTGGACCTTGGAGGCCATAACTAAAAAGGACTGGTGATTGGATTCCTAAGGTCCCGAAGACTGAGTTTATTGTAACCATGGAAACTCAATGTGCTTAAAACCAACTCAGTGGATGTTTCTGTGAATCTACAAATGTGCTAATTTTCTCATTTTAAAATTAAAATGATCCATAGCTATAACTTTTTTTAACTCAATGTGTCTTTAACATAGATCTCACTACTCTTTTAAGGTCTGAATCAAGATTTTTTCTATATTTGGTGAGACTTCTATGGTCAATGGTGAGTTTTGGTATAATACATCAGTGTATAAATACAATCAACTACTTACAGATTTGTTTAAAAATATAACAAACCAAACCAAACAAAAACAAAAAGAAATGTGGATTCCACTTGGACTTAGGAAATTTTACTCTGAAATTCAGAGTTGACCTGAATAAAGGCTTCCTTTTCTTTAGGCTGACCTACTTCTGTCTGCTTTGTAGGGTGAGCCCATTGAACATGGGGATCCTTGATACCTTTTATACTTGAATCAACATGTACACCCATGACGCATGCAGTCTGGCAATCGTGAACAAATTAGTGACTAAGGCGACTACTGCCTTGTGACTATTTTTGATGCCACACACACAAACACACACACACATACATAAGCGGAACAAAAATCTCTAATCACCGCCATATATCTGACTCACTCGAGTGGTGTTTTCAGACAATTTACTTGAAATCATTTGAAACGTCAAACCTACAGCTGAAAACCATGGACACCTCCCCACTCCTCTTCCCTGCCAACGGCTCACCCAGACAAGGAGGAGCCAAGCCATTCATCTGGTACCTCTGATCATCTGCTCCAGATGTTCCCAGAGAATATCGCCCACAAAGTCAGGTGCCAGTTCCAGAAAGCACTCCTTGCCAAGGTTGCACAAGACCTGGCCGGTCATGCCAAACCTCTGGAAGTTCACGTTCACCAGACTGAACTCGTTAGTAGCCCAGAGAAGCCACTGGCATACTTGCTGCTCAGTCCACAGCCAAGGATCTAGAGGGGAGGGAAGAAATGATGTAACAAGGGGAAAGAATGCAAGGGGGCAGTGAGACCAGAGTCACCCTGATATATATCCATTAACGAAATGAGCGAGACACCATTACGATATGCCCAAGGTGAATGCTAAGATGCTAACAATGATTTGGAAACCCTGATGGTGCAGTGGTTAAGTGCTATGGCTGCTAACCAAAAGATCAGCAGTTCGAATCCACTAAGCAATCCTTGGAAACTCTATGGGAGAAGTTCTAGTCTGTCCTATAGGGTCACTATGAGTCAGAATGGACTCAACAGCAATGGGTTTGGTTTTTTTCTGGTAACAATGATTCCCTCCCATGTATATTTAATGAGCGCCGACTGCGTTGAAATACAAAGTGGTTCAGGTTAACTATATATATGCTACTCTTTGCAAGACGCCCAAAAAATAAATCAAGATGAAGCAACTGCTGTCAAATTCATTTGTCCAGTAGAACACAGATTCAGGAAAAAAACAAAAGACCAAACCAGTTGCCACTGAGTCCATTCCGACTCCTGGAGACCCCATGTGTGCAGAGCAGAACTGTGCTCCACAGGGTTTTCAAGGCTGTGACCTTTCAAAAGCTGATCACTAGCCTTTCTTCCAAGGCGGGAGGGTTCAAACCACCAACTTTTTAGTTAGCCGAGTGCTTAACCATTTGCGCCACCCAGAGACTCAGAAAAGCGGCTCGAAAAGGCAACACTTACTCTTTGGGATGCCGAGACGGCGCTGCTCCTTCTTGAAGCCACTGAAGGTAGCTTTTAAGGCCTGGCTCATCACAGCCTTGCTGCATGGTGTTAACAGAGGCAATTCACAGTTGGTGGACTCTAGAGGAAAGCCCACGGGGTCATTAGTACTTCAAAATGCTAGTATCAGATACAGGGTTAGGGGAGAAAACTTCAGCTTCCAGGAAAGAACAATTCTGATACCAAACCTTAACATAATTCCTTAGAAGAGTATTAATACGAACAAAAAAATTTTTTGACTGGTATTAAGAAAATATTATACATCTCATAACCACACTTACAAAAAAAAGAAGCATCTAAAATAAAACACAAGTTTTATGTTGCAAAGCTTCCTAAAGCAGTTTTGCATAGGTAAAATGTCTATCTAAGTCTATTTTTAACATTTTACACAATGAAAGAAACTGCATGGTGTTTGATCCAAAAGACTTAATGGATTATAAATGCATAATTTGAAAGTTACTTCCATTAAACTAAGCGAATGGTGGAGATTTCAAGCACGGTGTGAAAATACAACACTTAGCACACATAAAGGAGACACGTTCCATTCTTAAAACAAAAAGTCTTCTCTGGATTTCCTCAACAATTCCCCAATGATAAAACTGTCACATGACATTATGCTTATGCAAGTGTATGTGTTTTAATTAATTTTATGGGCTGTGTTTTCTAGAACCTACTTCATATGACAAAGTAACCTCTGGAACGTTTCCAACTGATAACTCTATCACAGTAATTGCAGAGACTTCATCTGACATGCTAAAAAGAATAAACAATGACAAGAAGAAGTACAGAAATACATAGAGATGGGCAAAGATTAGCAAAAATAACGTGTCACTCCAAAACTCCATGCAGAGATGATTTAACTAATGATGTAAACTCAGAACTAAATGCTGGTGTGCATTTTAATGTCCACCATTTTATGTCTGGTTTGCAGAGTGGACCAGGGAAATAAAGACCCAGTCTGATGTAGTGTTGAAAACACCAGTAACGGAAAGCTCAGGAATTCCACTGCAGTTCACCAACTTCAGCGTATTTGCTCTCACTGGGGTGTCTCTAAGAGTCAGAATCGACTCAACAGCAGTGGGTTTTTGGGGTGTCTCTGGCACGTAAAGACATCAGAATCATCAAGTTCAGAAAAAAGGAAAACTGCCTTCTCCCAGGTCCAGAGCCTTTATTTGGCTTTTCATATAAAAGACTCAAAATGTCAACATTCATCAGTATGAACTGTCATCTCTTTATTCACTGAACTACTTAGGGAAATTATTTGTCCAGTCTGAATAACAAATTACCATGAGAAATGGAATCCAAGCCTGTTGGTACTTCTTGGAGTGTTTGCTCTTCACTTAGCGAGGGGAAAGCAGCAAACAGGGACCCATCAAAAGTGTCGAAGGCTGGCTGGCGCTGTGAAAACAGAGGGAAAAGAAAACTGAAATACAATAGTTTAATGTATTTAATGATCTATTTTAAAAGTGGTCCATGGCTAACCTTAATGATATACCCTGGTTAAACTGGCAATTAAAAAGCAATATAGTGGATCAACCAATCAGTTCTCTAAATAGATTTTTAAGATGATCAGAGTGACCGAAATGATTCTATTTTACTCTGGATTACTTCATCAACATCAGAGTTAGAATGACTGGGAATCTGTTTTAATGGCTTAATCCATTTCAATTAATAAATTAAATAAACGAACGTAAAAATAATACAATCTCAGAAGGACAGTGCTGGCAGGAACCTTAGAAACCACTCTGTCCAAACACCTGGCCCTCCTGCTAAATCAGAGAAATTCAATTGGGCTGTGTGGTAAGAAAAATAACCCTTAGCATAGCAGTTTTAGCACACTGCAGCTAAAACAAATGGCAAAATATTAAATAAAAATTGAAAAATCAAACAACGAAATAAATTACTGTATGTTTGGAAGTATTTATTCTAAAATATTTACTATGAAACACTTCAACTGAAACTAAAGATGTTTTTCCTCAACTCCAATGGTTCAAAAATAGTAATACATTGAGAAAATTCCTTAAGCTTTAATTTTATAGAAGTACAGCATATTAAAAAGAAGCCCCCCAAAACCAGGACAGCTATGATTAAGATAAATAGAAAACAACAGGTGCTGCGGAGGATGTGGGGAAATTGGAACCCTCATCTATTGCTGGTGGGAATGTAAAATGGTATAGTTGCTGTGGAAAATAATTTGGCAGATCCTCAAGAAGTTAAACACAGAATTACCATATGACCCAGCAATGCCACTCCTAGGTACGTTCTTGTTGTTGTTGTTGTTAGGTGTTGTCGAGTCAGTTCCGATTCATAACAACCCTGTGTACAACAGAACGAAACACTGCCTGGTCCTGCGCCATCCTCACAATCGTTGTTATGCTTGAGTCCATTGTTGCAGCCACTGTGTCAGTCCAACTCATTGAGGTCTTCCTCTTTTTCGATGACCCACTACTTTACCAAGCATGATGTTCTTCTCCAGGGACTGATCCCTCCTGATTACATGTCCGAAGTATGTAAGACGTAGTCTCGTCATCCTTGCTTCTAAGAAGAGTTCTGGTTATACTTCTTCTAAGAGAGATTTGTTCATTTTTTTCGCAGTCCATAGTTTATTCAATACTCTTCCCCAACACCACAATTCAAAGGCATCAGTTCTTCTGTCTTCCTTATTCACTGTCCAACTTTTGCATGCATATGAGGCGACTGAAAATGCCACGGCTTGAGTCAGGCGCACCTTAATCTTCAAGGTGACATCTTTGCAACACTTCAAAGAGGTCTTTTGCAGCAGATTTGCCCAGTGCAACGCATCTTTTGATTTCTTGTCTGCTGCTTCCATGGGTGTTGCTTGTGGATCCAAGCAAAATGAAATCCTTGATAACTTCAATCTTTTCTCCGTTTGTCATGATGTTGCTTATTGGTCCAGTTGTGAGGATTTTTGTTTTCTTTATGTTGAAGTGTAATCCATACTGAAGGCTGTGATCTTTGATCTTCATCCATAAGTGCTTCAAGTCCTCTTCACTTTCAGCAAGCAAGGTTGTGTCATCTGCATATTGTAGGTTGTTAATGGTCTTCCTCCAATCCTGATGCACTGTTCCTCTTCACATAGTCCAGCTTCTCAGATTATTTGTTCAGCATACAGACTGAATAAGTATGGTGAAAGGATACAGCTATGATGCACACCTTTCCTGACTTTAAACCACGCAGTATCCCCTTGTTCTGCTGTAACGACTGCCTCTTGATCTGTGTACAGGTTCCTCATGAGCACAATTAAGCATTCTGGAATTCCCATTCTCTGCAATGTTACTCATAATTTGTTATGATCCACACAGTCAAATGCCTTTCCATAGGCAATAAAATACAGGTAGATATCTTTCTGGTATTCTCTGCTTTCAGCCAGGATCCATCTGACATCAGCAATGATATCCCTGGTTCCACATCCTTTTCTGAATCCAACTTGAATTTCTGGCAGTTCCCTGTCGATATACTGCTGCAGCTGCTTTTGAATGACCCTTTGCAAAATTTTACTTGTGTGCGATACTAATGATATTGTTTGATAATTTCCGCATTCGGTTGGATCACCTTTCTTCGGAATAGGCATAAATATGGATCTCTTCCAGTTGGTTGGCCAGGTAGCTGTCTTCCAAATTTCTTGGCATAGACAAGTGAACCCTTCCAGCGCTGCATCCATTTGTTGAAACACCTCGACCAGTATTCTGTCAATTCCTGGAGCTTTGTTTTTCACCAATGCCTTCAGTGCAGCTTGGAATTCTTCCTTCAGTACCATGGGCTCCTGATCATATGCTACCTCCTGAAATGGTTGACCGTCGACCAATTCTGACAAACTGACAGACGCGTGGGGGCTCATAGGTATATACCCAAAGAATTAAAAGCAGGAAAGCAAACAGACACTTGTACTCCAATGTTCACAGCAGCACTATTCACAATAGTCAAAAGGTCCATCAACAGAGGAATGGATAAACAAAATGTGGTATATCCAGACAATGAAATATTACATAGCCATAAACAGAAATGTTGTCCTGATGCATGCCAGAACATGAATGAACCTTGAAAACATCATGCTGAGTAAAATGTCAATCACAAAAGGACAAATATGGTATGATCCCACTTATATGAAATATCTGGAACAGGCTAGTGTGTAGAAATCAAAGTTTATTAGTGGGTGGGAGGGAGGGGACAGGAAGGCACAATGCTTAGTGGGCAATGAGTTTCTGTTAAGGGTGGTAGAAAAATTTGGGAACAGTTAATGGTGGTGGTTGAACAACATGATGAACATAATTAATGTCACCGAAGATTAATGACATGTGAAGACTGTAGAAATGGCAAATGTTTTAAATGTTTTGTTATCTATAAATTTACAAAAAGGGGGAAAAAAAAATCCCTCAAATCATTTGAGGAGAAAGACTTCCAATGGAAATAGGTTTAAAGTTAAATTAAACTGTCTACAGCTTAGGGGAAAGAAGAGACATGTGAAAAATCAAAGCTTACATTGAGTCCATTTCCAATAATCTTATGTAACTTTTCTGAAAGAAATTCCCTTTGAAGTAAGCCTCATTTATACACATCAGATAATGCCTTGATTCATAGCTGCCTCACTTGTAGAGGAAAGAAATATGAAGAAATGTTTTATTTTTCCAATATAAACTGGAAATCCTACGTTATGTGTAATACAATGACCCATCAATTGAGTCATCAATTAAAAAAAAAAAATGTGTAACACATTTACAAATAAAAATCAGTTTGTATGCTTTCTTTTTCAGAAACGCAGAACAAGGAGTGAAGCATTGCAAAGGAGGACAGGCAGAAGTTGGAACCCAGCCCAAAAAACCCCAAGACAATGATGTCCAATTGCCCAATATGTCTCAAATCTGAGGCAAAATCAATCAGGCAAGTGCAAAACACTCAACCGATTTTATATGCTTAATTTTACGACAGGACTAACGCTGGTGAAATATCCAGTAGATTTTCTAAATTCTCACAAGCATCACCCAGCTGACTAAGAAATGCCTTTCATGACTGTAATTTCTGCTTTTTTAAATCAGGAAGCCAAAGAACAATATAAATTTGTGCTGCATATTTCAACACATCCGTTTCACCAATGGTTGTTTCTTCTCCAAACCCAGAAACTGCATGGGCATCATCAAATTCTTTTAACTCACAGAAGAAATTTTTCTTAGGGGTGTGGTCTTGACTTAATACTATAATTTCTTGTGAGTTTCTGCCATGCTTAAAACATCTGCCCAAATCAAACAAGAAAACTCACTAGCCTGGATATTACTAATCTTCATAATACTAGACAAGCTTGTGCCAATTTCCAGCTCTTTGGGTTATATTGGACAGATAACCTCATAATGATATACAAAAGAATATATAAATGCCTGACATAGATCATTAATATCCAAGACACTAAGCTTTGAGGAGGCTGGTCTTAAAATTACTGCTTTAGAAGCACATTTACTATATAACACTAAAAAACAATCATATCTTACTGTCACATTTTGGAGAAGGCAAATGGGAAGTGATGTTGTGCTGCTAAAGAATGTTCCTGAAAGCAATTAGGACAGAAGCTACATGGAATTCATTTATGCAGAGAAGGGTCTTTCATCTTTAATCTGGGTTGTTGTTGTTTTTTTCTGGGGGAGGGATATGTAAACAGACACCCTTATTCTCTGCTCCAAGAAAAGGCTCCTTTGCTCCTTCTGATGGGTGGAGGCAGCAGCAGTAGGTCCATCTGCTCCTTCTGAGTCTTTGATTTCAGTTCTTAAACAGCCTGTATGTCACCCAAGGAAACTCCTAAGTGGCCAGTAAAGACAGTAATAAAAAAAAAAGCCTCTCCAGCTCTGTTCAACCGAGAATCACAGGTTTTCTTCCTTGGAAGGAGCATCAGAGATAAACCGCAAAGGCCTTACCATTCTCAAGTTAAATGGTTCCATATCTTGGAGGGCAAAATAGAGCCAGCAGCATCAAGATACCCGTTTGAAAGACTAGAAAACTGAGGCCCAGAGCGATTAAGCCAAGAATCCAGAGTCACACAGCCAGCAAATTAAAAAGACTAGAACCTGTCCTCTGGGACCCAGCCCATCATTCTTTCCCCTAAAGATTGAGTTTTCCCATTATTTTTTTCTTATAGACTTGATCACTCACCTTGAGTGTCCCTCTGTAACTATTAGACACAGGGGCCACCTGATCCATGCTCTTGATTCCAAAATCATTCATCTTAAAGGAGAGAAGGAAGAGAGTCAGAAGCAAGCAGGTTTAAAAATGTACATTTTAAAGAAGGCACTATGAGCAGTATCTATACTTGATTCTGGCCTGGTCTGCCAAGTTCTACCACCTAACCAAAAAAAAAAAAA